CGATTAATTCATAATCACATTGACAAATATTAACTTTTAAAATACTATATAGGACTATAAAAATATATTTACATAAATATATAGATAAAAAGTCGTGGCCTCTTTAATATCTGGACATAAAAACAAAACCCACCTCTCTCTCTTCTTCTCTGAACTCTCCTCTTCCTCCTTCTGATCCACATCCTCTGCTCCCTCCGTTTGTAACTCCTTCCTGTTCCCCTCCACTTTCTTCTTCTCCTCCTTTTCCTCCTTTTCTTCCTCTCCTCCAGCCTCCTTCTCCTCCTCATCCTCCTCTTCCTCCTCTGAACCCGAGGAGCTGCTGTCCTCTGAACTCGACTCGTCGCTCGATGTAGTTTCATATCTGGGCCACAAGGGGGCGACAGAGGAGGTGAAAACGGGCATTCTGGGGCTTTCCCCGAGTTTTTAAAATTTTTAATTTTTCATGTTTTTATTCATGTGACAAGGTCATGTAAAAACAATGAAAAGTAAAGATTTATTTTATTTATTTTTTTAATTTTTTTTTTACAAAAACAACAACCACTTATTCCCTCCCCAATCCATCTAAGATTATGTTGCATATCAGTAATAACCCACATCCTTCCTTCTTACCGTACACTAACATGTGAATAAAAAAGTATATAGACAATAAAAAAAGAGTAGTAAGAATAACATAAATAAATAAATAAGTAAATAAATAAATAAATGAATAAATAAATGAATAAATTAATGAATAAATTAATGAATAAACTAATGAATAAATAAATAAACAAATAAATAAATAAATTAAATTAAAAATAAATAAAATAAAAATAAAAAAAATAAATAGAAAACATCACAAAATAAAACTGAGAAGTAAAAGTTTCAATGGGTTGAGATGAAGTAAGGAGTAAAATAAAATTTAATCAAAAGTCAGTTGTCAAAAGGTGACATTTAATTTGTCCTGTAGTGTCTTTAATATAGCTATATATTTAATATAGCTATGTAACTAATCATGCACCCCCAAACTGAAGCAAATTTCCCAGGTTTTTTATTTAAGTACAGCATGAGATCTTTAAGCCACAGTGAAGCTTCTGGGGCCCAGCTCAGAGTTTTCAAAAATAAAACAAAATCTTTCCATCTCACCCTCCGTTTACGCCGACAAACTGCAGGTTCTTTTTGGTGCCGTTGGACTCCGGTCGGCCATCTTTCTTCTTCATGATGGATTTCAGGGTGCCCGGTTGTCCTGTAGAGATTTTAGAAATTTTAAGAGATTCTGCTCTTTTTCCTAAATATTTTCCTAGCTTTGCCCCCAGACGGGTTTAGACTAGAGTATGACCCGGGAGTGGATTTTCTCTCCTGTCCCGTCCCACTCCCAGACCAAAGTTTAAAAAATAATCCCATAATAATCCGACTTCCGCTCCTGTACCGCTCCAATATATATTTTTTTCTTCAATTAGTGTTTAGTCTTACAAGCAGCGTACACCGTCACATTCCACTCTCATAAACTTATATAATATTATATAAATATTTCAGACTTTCCGACCAGTTCTGTGAATTTAATAGACATTTCATTACTTCAGACTTTGCGCTGTAAATCTTTTTTTTTTAGCTCCCTCCATCTCTGCTTTTTTAATTCCGGCGGTTAGCCGTGACAAAAAGCCCTGATGGCTTCTGGGTCATGTAGTTATTTTGTAATTGCGTTACATTGTAGGCATATTAAAAGGAAACTACAAAATGGTGCATTTACTTTTTTTTTTTTTTTCATCTTTGCTATTGGTTGATTCCCGCTCCCGTTAACCATTTATCCTACCGTCCCAATCCCGTCATTAATAGCAAAGACGACTCCCATCCTGCAGGAATCCCACGGGAATCCCGTGACCCGTGGGATTCCCGAAAAAATGTCAGCCTCTAATCCAGACAGGCTCCTCAGATGTTCATAAACAGGCTTTATTATACCTCAATGGTACAAAAATAACTGGTAGTAAAAAAGAATCTGTAAAAACCAGTAACAACATTGCAGCCATCCTTTAAAATGCTTAAATAAAATCAAATAATGCTCTACATATGACCTCTTCTGTATTAGAAAACACAGCCTAAACAAAATACCTCTTAATACGATAAATAAATATAACGATGCAATATCAACAAACAAAAAGGATTAAGAGGCCGGTGGGCGAACAGGGTTGTAAACAATCGTCAGTATTTCAATTCTCCTGCTTTTTCTTTCCCAAACTCAAACATAAATCAGGTCGCAGTTCCTCTGTTGGTAACTTTTTTATTTAAATGTCTTTCATCTGTTTATTCTTAAGCAAAGTGACTTAAAATCGACCTGTAACAACCAGTAACAACATTTTAAAATGCTTAAATAAAATTAAATAATGCTCTAAATATGACCTCTTTTGTATTAGAAAACACAGCCTAAACAAAATACCTCTTAATACCCTCTTAATGTAATAAATAAATATAACAATACAATATCAACACACAAAAAGGATTAAGAGGCCGGTGGTGTAAACAATCATAAGTATTTCTATCTTTATTTGAATAGTTTTCTTTCCCAAACTCAAACATAAATCAGGTCGCAGTTCCTCTGTTGGTAACTTTTTTATTTAAATGTCTTTCATCTGTTTATTCTTAAGCAAAGTGACTTAAAATCGATGAAGCACCAGTTAAAATTTAGCCGAACATGACGGTGGATTGGAAAAAAACAAACAATTAAATAAACTGGGATGTAATGTATTGATGAGTCTTTAGTGTTAGGGGCTAATCCATCGGTATCATCTATAATCTTACAATGTTCCACTGTCAGGGTTCGAAATTCGTTGGAATTTGATGTTAGCTAGCAGGCTAATAGCTCTGAAAAGTTGTTAGCTAGCTGACCAAAAGCAGCCCGATTGGTTCTGTTCTGTCTGTGGGCTCCAGCAGACTAAATCTGAATATTTCTTTATAGCCTTAATTCATATTTTTAAACCAACACACAGAAAACGGTCTGTCTCCTGGAACGCTGTACTATAATATAATATTATTAAAAACGTTTTCAGCTCCTCTCGCTTGGCGGCACAACCACGTTTATCATAGGAAATTATGATAAACTGCAGGATAACATGGAGGATGATGAATTTCAAACAAATGTTTTAGGTTTTTTGTTTATTCCCTGTTTATTTAGCATGTATTTGATATAAAAACTTAATTTGGTCATTTCAAACCCTGCACTGTGCAGCAGAACCTCTGCTTAAGATGCCTAAACATATGAATTTTCCATCGTAGATCAAATTCAATCAAATATTCGACTCAACACCCAAAGTAAATTTCCAACAAACCACGCAAATTATGTCAAAGTCACAGAAAAAAATCTAATTAAAAATAAAAATTAAACAAAGATGATCTGTCCCGTTTATATAGTCACGCAAAAAGCGCAGAGGCCGTACCGTGCAGTTTTATTCATTCCATTTTTATTTAATTAATTTATGATGTTTTTATTTAGGATGTATTTATGACTTTGTATGTTTTTCAATGTTTTAATGATGATTGTCTTTGTAAAGTGTCCTTGAGTGGCATGAAAGGTGCTTTAAAAAAATAAAAATGATATTATTATTATTTATTACAATATTCCACCCTGCATCAGAACCTCCGCTTACGATGCCTAAACACACAAATTTTCTAACATAAGTAAAATTCAATCAAATATTCGACTCGACACCCAAAGTAAAGTTTACGAATATGAAATAAGGCTATAAAGAAATATTCAGATTTAGTCTAGAACAGAACCAATCGGGCTGCTTTTGGTCAGCTAGCTAACAACTTTTCAGAGCTGTTAGCCTGCTAGCTAACACCAAATTCCAACGAATTTCAAACCCTGACACTGGAACATTGTAAGGTTGTAGATGATAAAGATGGATAAGCCCCTAACACTATAGACTCATCAATACATTACATCCCAGTTTATTTAATTGTTTGTTTTTTTCCAACAATCCACCGTCATGTTCGGCTAAATTTTAACTGGTGCTTCATCGATTTTAAGTCACTTTTTCTTAAGAATAAACAGCTGAAAGACATTTAAATAAAAAAGTTTCCAACAGAGGAGCTGCGACCTGATTTATGTTTGAGTTTGGGAAAGAAAAAGCAGGACGATTGAAATTAAATAAAAATGATCTGTCCGGTTTATATAGGCTATAGGGTTGTCACGATACTAAAATTTTCAACTGGATACCGATACTCAGGAAAATACTCGATACTCGATACCACAAAGATAAAAACAAAGACCCCAAAATGTAACTGAATTTTGACAGGTTAGTGTCTTTAATTTGAAACTGACCTGTTACTGATGTTATCGTGGCTGGTGGCCCGAATTAATTACCCTAACCCTAACCCTAAACATAACCCTAACCCTAACCCTAAACATAACCCTAACCCTAACCCTAATCCTAACTCTAACTCTAACCCTAACCCTGACCCTCCAGCCTTCATAATTGTGAGAAACAATTTTGGGGTTAAACTTGTTTGGACTTATTGTACAAACCTATTTAACATCCACTATTTTAACATAATATTATGGATAGAGTTTAATTAAGTGTTTGAAAGATTAATTTAATTATTTTTAAATTAATGTCTATATTGCTATGATGCATTACTATTTTCTTACCTGGGATTTCCCTTTTGGTGACGTAATCAAAATGGCCGATTTGGATGTGGGCTGAGACGGATATGTACTTGATTAATGGTAGCATGTTATTATTAGCCGCAGATAGCAGTTCAAGGCTAACGTCTTGTTAATGATCATAAACAACGTAAATAAATACATAAATAAATCAGAGAGAAGGTGGTGGTATCGATACTTTTGAAAATGAGTATCGTATCCGGATACAACATTTTAGTATCCATACTTTTTTAAG